CCTACACAGACTTTCCATGGTTGTCTCCAGAGCACATCTCCCCAGAATCTGTGCTGGTCCTGTCAGCTTACGTCTCACACCATCTCCACTTGTTGGTTGGCATGTATGATCCTGTGGGGCCATCTGCTGTCTTAATTGCCTAGATAATTGCAAAGGCGGCTGGACCTATCTTCCTCCCTGGGGAGATGGCCTGATGGAGTAGAAAGAACATCAATCAGACAGGCAGGAGACCTGAGGTCCACCTGTCTGTGAGTCCCTGAGCATGTCCCTGCTCCTCCAGGCCTCAGTTTCCCCTCTCCGCGCCCACCTCTCAACCTCCCCATTGCTCTCCAGTGCTGGATGCCTATGAGCCACCTCCCCCATCTGCTCACTCTCTCCCCTTGGTCGACCTTGTCTCACCAACCCCCACATGGCTGTCTTGGCCAAGGCAGTGGTGACTCATAAGCAGATGTGGTGGGAATGTGGGCGGACAGGGAGGGCCATGCCTGATAACTTCTAACAGCCATACAGCCAGAGTGCATGTGGACTCTGTGGGGTGATCTTGGGCAAGTTTCTGACCCTTGCTGAATCTCAATATCCCAATTGCAGAATGTGTTGAGGAAGGTTTGGTGTCATTTGTAGCCCAAGCTGGGGGCTGAGGTAAGGGGATCACAGGCTGAAGCAGCCTTTGGAGACCACAGACCCTATTCTCCCCAAGCCTGTGTATGCATCCCTATTTTACACATGAAAAGATAAAGGCCAGTTTTGATCAACATCCCTTAATCAGTCAGAGATGGAGCCATAACTTGAATCTGGTACCCTTCTAAGGGCCCACTGCTAGGGGTAGGGGGAGCTGACAGACCACTTTGGTGTCAGGCTTATCTGGGGGTAGATGGGTGGAACTTCCAGTGAGTTGACAAACAGTGGGACTGAGGGATGTCTGAGAGCTCTGGGGACCCAAATAGGACACATCAACCAGCTAGAGGTGGATAGGAACAATCAGGGAAGGCCTCCTGTTGGCATGGACAATGGAACCATCTTAGTGGACCTGTAGGATTTAGCCAGACCAACAAGGGATTAGGGTAAGGGCATTCCTTAGGCCCATGAAGTGAGTAAAGGCTGGGAAGCAGTGAAGGGAGAAGAGGCTGGAGAGGTGTCTGGGGCTGGCTGTGGATACCGTTGATTGATACCAATGATTCTTCCTAAACTATGCTGAGGGGCTGTTGACTATGAGGTGCCTCAGCTGTCAGGCTGTGGACACTGGCCCCAAAATCTCAAAGCCAATCCATCTCATTAAAGAAACAGTCTCTGCCAGGGCTCACTCCAAACTCTGCAGGCCCCCGTGCCACACCTCCACCAGTGTGGGACTTACCCTCTGCTTGGCCTGTGTGGAGTCCCTGTAATGATCACCCTACCTGAAGTTCCACCATTAGTCCAGAGCTCCAGTATTTAAGTTCACTAGGAGCTCTGGTGACGTCATGCCTAAGGCATTTGACTGCTAACCAGAAGGCTGTTGGTTCAAACCCACCAGCTACTACGTGGAAGGAAGACTGGGCAATCTACTTCCATAAAGATTTACTGCCTTGGAAACCCAAAAGGGGTCGCTATGAGTTGGAATTGACTCAATGGCAGTGAGTTTGGGTTTTTGGTTTTAGGACACAAATAAGAGGAGGATATCTCGTATCCACAAAGTCCTTTTGAGAATGTGTATATATTGAACTGTGATTAAAGCTTTAGGGTCAAAGAGAACTGGATTTCTCATTGTCTTGCCAGTGTGTAAAATGGAGCTGATTAAACGCTATATTTGGGGAAAACATGCTATGATCTGTAGGGGGCTGGGCAAAAGCTGGTCTAGATTGTCATATGACTTGTGCTGCTGCCTCTGAGGTGCTTGGTCTAGAGAATGTCCTATCTGGCGTAAAGATGCTAGTGACGCTGAGGCTGTGGCCAGGATAGTTTGTGCTTTCTGGTAGGGGATCTCCAAGGTGGTAGCACTAGGTCCATAGAGCAGCAGATCGGGAATGGGGTGGGGGAGACACAGGGTCCTCACTGAAGCCTCATCCAGACCCTGACCTGTGGCCTCTCATGCCAGGGTTCAGAAGACATGATGCAGGCCCCGCCATAGCCCCTGAGTCCATGCAGGCAGCTCCTGAGGCTAGGGGTCTAGATCGCTGAGCTGGAGCTGGGGGAATCACAGAGAGTGATTCCCAATCCAGTTCAGGATTAGGGGGCAAGGGTCTTACAACTGTTCAAGGATAGAGTAGGCACTTAGGGGGATGTGAACTCACTGTTTATGGGGGTGTACAAGCAAGAACCAGACAGTAGAAAAGATTTCTGCATTGCATTGATGTGTTAGAGGAAATGAATTATTGGTTTCTTTTCAATGGAGCAATTCAGAGATGATACATATTCATCCATTTATTTTTAATTAACTCATTCATCAAACATTTATTACTATATGCAATGCTCTGTCCTGGACACTGGGTTTAAATCAGTGAGCAAAACAGTTGAAGGTCCCACACTCAGTGGAGGGATGAACAAGGATGGGTGAGCAAACACGTGGAAGAAAGGCAGGAAGAGGGTAAAGGGGAGACCAAGCCAGAGTGGTCTGGGTGGGCTACATGGTAGAGGTGACATTTAGGGCCACTCTTAGAATGAAAGAGGGGAAGGGTGTACCTGTAAGAGAAAAGAGTTCATTAAAAAAAAAAAAAAAAAGGAAAGAAAAGAAAAGAAAAAAGAGGATAGCACTCATGCAGAGGCCCTGAGGAGGGAAAACTCTGATACCTTCTAGGAACTGAGCTAAGCTTGGCTCTGTTGCCTAAGACCTGATCCAGTGGTGTGACCCTCATCATATCCTAGCTGGGCACTTTGACCTACTCCCTTTCCCTTGCTGAGCCTCTGAACATGGGAGCAACCATGCCCAGTTGCAGTCTCTTGAACTATCCCACGAGACACTGTACATAAAGAACTTGGTGCCCAGTAGAGGCTCAAATAATGCCAGCTCCTTTCCTTTGTCTGGGCCATTTACATTTGGACAGATGGTAATGCATGGTCTGGAGGGGTGAATGGGAGATTCCTGGTATACCGTTAGCCTCCGAGATCTGCCCCTGGGCCTGAGGGCAGTCTTCCCAGATCCACTCATCTGGTTCTCAGCTAAGGATGCCTGCTGCATTGCACTGGTCCCCTCCCAAAAGCTCGTCAGTCACTGCCATTGCCTTGATTATCACCAGTGGAAGTTACTCTGATTTAACTCCAGTGCTCAGAGGCTTAGCCACTTCTTCTGACAGCTTGGCCTTGCCCTCTGCTCCATCACCTTATTGGAGGGGCTTGAGAAAGCCTGCCTTCCCTAAGCATGACCATGTGCCCAGCCACTGTGCCTGCAGTACCACCACTCAATGCTTTCTCTCCCAAGGGGGATCCCCTAGGAGCTTCCCCTAACTGTGTCCAGGACCTTGGCTGGTAGCTCCTTACAATCAGATATTCCCAAAGATCCCCCAGGAGCAGTAGCAAGGGGCCCTGCCCCAGCCCTACTGCACTTGTAGATCTGTTTCTTCCAACAGCACCTGGCTTCCTGTGCTGTGTGCTCAAGCATGTGCTGGTGAAAGTGTTCCCCTGAGTGCCCTTCTCGGGGGTTTTGGATGGGACACAGACCCAGGCTTCTGTCCTTCCTCTCAGACCCAGGGCTGAGTTTGTAATAACCATAGTTGTTGTTGTTATTTGCCGTCGGGTCGGCCCCGACTCATAGCGACCCCTCCTTGGGTTTCCGAGGCACTATCACTACAGAAGTAGGATTGCCCAACCTTCCTTGGCAAGCTGTGTAAATGGCATCAGGTAGTCCTGGGTTCAAATCCTGGTGGGTGGGGGAGTTTGTGTTGATGGCATCAGAAGGGCCTGGGTCAAATCCCGCTTACCCCTTACACTCTGTGTGACCGAGAGCGTATGATTTCACCTCTCTGGGCCTCAGTTTACTCATCTCTGAAGTGGGGGTGTAGTCCTTATCTCATAGAAGGATCATGGTGATGAAATGAGAGAAATATGTGTAAGATGCTGAGGATGAAGCTATGTTTCCTACAGCCTAGGGCCTTCCTCTCCTCTGAACTGTGCACACTGGGCCTGTCATTCTTTTCTCTTGCAGTTGTATGAGTCCCACTTAGCCAGTGACCTTGCCTATACACCCTGATCCTCATTGGTATGGGTCCTGCAACCTGGAAGCAGCCCACTGGTATGGCATTACCCATGAAGCTCTGCCTAGCCTGCCTTAAAGTCAGGTTAAGGGCTGTGGTTGAGGGGAGCAATGTGGCTAACTGGCCAGAATGGGGGTCACAACCAAACAGCCCTCACCAAGAGGGATCAGTAACCACCCTTCACCTGTGGCTAATGGAATCACACACTGAGCCTTAGTTTCCCCTTCTTTATAATAGGGATAATAACACCGTTTTAGTAGAAATATTTAACAACAGCATGCGCGGTCTCATCGTCCTGGCCTGGCCCTTGGGATGCTGGTGTGGAGGGAAGGAGGGAGGAAGATGCAACTGACAGCCCATAGCAATAAAGAGTTATCTCTTTTTCTTCTCTGCCTCCCATCTTGCCATCTCTGCCCCCTCCCATTCAGATTTCATTTCCGGCTATCAATCAGGGTCCCCAGTGAGCTCAGGACATGGCTTGCCCATGGTTGTGACAGACTCAGCCCTGAGCTTGAGAAAAAGGAGAGAAGCCTGAGTCCAAGTCCTAGCTCTATGCTAGTGGAGACTTCTGACCAGGCCCTCTCCAAATACCAGTTTTTCCATGTTCCAAACTCTGTCTCCATCTCCTATTGTTTTTAACTGTTGTCAAGTCAGCCTCCAACTCATGGCCACCCCATGTACAATGGAACAAAACACTTCACTGCACCACCCCCATGATTTGTTGTGATCAATGGAGTTTTCATTGGCTGATATTTTTGGAAGTAGATTGCCAGGCCTTTCTTCGTAGTCTGTCTTAGTCTGCAAGCTCTGCTGAAACCTGCTCAGCATTACAGCAACATGAAAGTGTCCATTGACAGGCAGGTGAAAGCTGTGCATGAGGTGCATTGGCCGGGCATGGAGGTCTCTTGCATGGAAGGTGAGAATTCTACTACTGAACTGGCACTGTCTCTGTTTTTAATCTCCTAGGGTGGTATTATAAGGAGCTCTGGTGGCAGAGTGGGTAAGACATTTGGTTGCTAAATAGAAGGTTGGTGGTTCAAACCTAAGAGCTGTTCTGTGGGAGGAAGATGAGGCAATCTACTTCCATAAAGATTTACAGCCTTGGAAACTCAATGGGAGTTGCTATGAGTTGGAATTGACTCAATGGTGATGGGTTTTTTTGTTTGTTTGTTTGTTTAGGATGGAGTTAAAGAATAGAATTTTATTTTCTCATAGTTTAGAGGCTGGAAGTCCAAATAAGAGTATCGACTGTGTTAATTCCTTCTGAGAGCTTTGAAAGAGGAACTAAGTGTTCGTTCCATGCTCTTTCCTGGCTTCTAGTAGCTGCTAGCAATCTTTGGCCTTCCTTTGCTGCTTGTAGATGTATCTTCACATGGTGCCTTCCCTCTGCTTTCTCATCGGTACAGCGAGGTTGGTTCTCAATTGTGATGGTTGCTGCCCCCAGGCAGGCAAGGAGAATGTTGGGTTATCTCAAAGACTCAGGCCACCACTGGCATTTAGTGGATGGGGCCAGTGATGCTATCAGTCCTGCAGAATGAATGACAGCCTGATATACCAAGGAATTATCCCAACAGTAGGGCCAGTGTGCTCTGTTAAGAGATGTCAGAAGAGGCCTCTAGGACTGGTCCTAAGTAGGGATAAATTACTAAACATGTGCTGAATAGTTGGTTTTCAAAGCCCTTCCAAGATCTCTGCCCCTCATTCCTCACAGATGGGGAAACAAAGGCTTGAAGAGAAGTGACTTACACAGAGTCACACAGATATTGGGACTTGAACCTGTGGGCGTCTGACTCCAAGGGCTGTGCACCTAACCACCTTGAAGTTCTGCCTTGCCAGCCCGTTTCTCAGCATTGGCATTGACTATTGGCAGGAAAATGAATAAACACTTTCTGACTGGTTAACACTTGGGCTCCCCAACTTTGGAGATGAAGGCTGTTATTTATTTATTTTAATAATTTTTTTTCTTTTCTTGTTGTTGAGAACATACACAGTAAAGCACACACCAAATCAACAGTTCATCCATGTATGATTCAGTGGCATGGATTCATTCTTCAAGTTCTGTAACCATTCTCATGTTCCTTTTCTGAATTCTTCCTCCCCACTCACTGCCCTTTAAGGTTCTTATCTGATCTTTTGAGTTGCTGTTGTCAATCCCCCCCCCACACACACACACAGATAGTTCTTAAAAGAGCATAATGCTCAAGGCAGCATTTATTTATTTGTTTGTTTTATTTTTGTAGTGTTTCCTCCCCTCCCACCCCTGGTAGCCAACAAAGAGTTTCCTTCCATATATAAACCTTTTCTTGACTTTTTTACAATAATGAACAAGTACAGTATTTGTCCTCCTGTGATTGACTTACTTCACTCAGCATAATGTCCTTCAAGTTCATCCACATTATGTGGTGAAGGCAGACTTTTTAAAAAATATTTTTTTGTGATTTGGGTGAAAGTTTATAGAGTGCATTAGTTTCCCACTCAACGATTTATATACATTTTGTTTTGTGACATTAGTTGTAATCCTCTCAATGTAACAGCACTTTTCCCACTTCCTCCCTGGGTTTCCCATTTGCATTGGTCCTTCTTTCTTGCCCCTTCCTGCCTTCTGAACTTCTTGCCTGTTTGGTATCCTATGGTTGATGGTTCTGCGTAGCACGTTCCTGCAGCCTGTAAATAAGTGGGCTGGAATCCATCCTCGGGTCTGTCAGCCTTCCAGGCCCAATTTCTCACAAAATCCCCAGGACCATCCAAACGCAAAGAACAGAGCTCAGGGGCATAACTGGGGCTGCAGAGGTACCCCCTGATGATGGGGGGACTGCCCCACCAGCTCGGGAACCCTGCCATCTCTCCTCCAGGCTGCCTAATTCCCCTCATGTGCCATCTGGAGTGTTTGAAGTGTGTAACAGTCAGACGCTGTCACTGGAGCCACTGGCACCCAAGTGCTTGGCAGTCCTGGTTTCCAGCCACTGTGCACACCCAGCAATCTGTCCTCCTTTTCCTCTGCTTCCCTGAGGTTGGCAGAGTTGGATGAGAGGGGTCATCTTTGGAGTTGGGCCGAGTAGCAGCTTTATTTGCTCTCAGCTTCCAGAAGGGGCCTTTGCTGCTCACTCCCAGGCTGCCACCAAGGCAGAAATCGTCCTCCCTGCTCCTGGAAGCCAGCTGTCCATGCCTGAGGTGCTGGCAAAGCCTCACACCGTCTTACTCTACCACTGTCCTTCTGTGGCTCCCTGCTCCCTGCAGGAAGAAAGTCAAACACCTTATTTCATACAGTGCTTCTCAAACTTTATACAAGTCACCTGAGGATTCTGCTAAAGTAGATTCTACCTTAGCGGTGGATTACTGAATAGGCAAGGCAAGCACAAGGTTACTAGTGCTTACTTACAATCTGTGGTGAACAACTTCATGTGTTTTCTGCTATAGAATTCACTACAGATTAGTAAGTATGCCCAAATAAACCCGTGCTTGCCTTGCTTACTGGGTACTCCATCCCTGTCAAGGATTGTAAATTTGAAAAGAAGTTTTGATTCTGTAGGGAGAGTCTGCAGAGTTGGGAGAGAGACAGACACCAGTAATACCTAGAAATAGAAAGTTGGATGTAGTAAAAAAAAAAAAAAAAAAGTGTATTTTTTCACTATAGATTAATAGGTAAGCACAAGTAAGCTCATGCTTACCTTGTTTATTGGGTTATCTAACACTGGTTCACACTTGACACTTGGAGCAGTGAGACCTTAGTAGATTCTTCCTGGTCTGGCTCCTCCCACACTTCCTGCTTACAGTCCTTCTCCTAGTCACCTGGAATTTTGCAAAAATGGCATGGGGGATGCATGGTCTAACATCGTCTAACTTAAGGGGAGAGAGAATCACCATCTGTATCAACAGCCTAAGACTGACTCCTGTGAGGCAAGGTTCAGACATGCTGCTACCCTTCAGCCTTTTTACCAACTCTGACACCAACTGTCCCTTCTCATGGCACTCTCTACTTCTCTGCTGGGTTCGGTAATTTGTTGCAATGGCCACACAGAACTCAGAAGTTACTCATAATTATGGGGTTTATTAGGGAAGTTACAGGTTACAATTCAGGATCAGAAACAACCCAGGATATAATTCTTCAATCGGAACAGCTTCTTCTCAGCTGTGCTGGGGGCACACTTCTCTCTGGCCTCAGCTTCTGTCCTGCACAGGCAAGTGTTAGAAAGCTAAAGCTCTGCTAATAGGTGCACCTCATTCTGCCAACAAGCCTTCTGTCTGAAGGCATTCAGCTTTCTCACTCTGAGAAAGTGGCAAGCCCGCCACTCTGTCTCATGCTGGTCTCTTGGTTCTGCTGCCTCTGCTGCCACTGTTTGTCTGTTGCTGCTGCTCACCATCTCTTGTAATCTCAGCAAAGTGTTACACTACCTCTCTGTCTCCTGGGTCAAGGAGGTTCAATGCAGAGATCTTGGGTCCAAAGGATGCCCTCCACTCCAGGTTCTTCTTTCTTGATGGTAGTGAGATACCCCACCCCTCTTTTGCCTCTGGGATGGCTCATTTTAAGCCTAGCGGGATGGTAAGACTGATCAATCCCCATGTTAGGGTTCCATACACCTTATTTCCATGGTCCCACAACCCACAAGGGTGCCATATACCTTATTTACATTATTAACAAGCTATCCAATCCTGTTGGAGGGCCACAAACACCTTACATTTGCATAATTTCACCCAGTCATCTGGTGGGAATCACAAAGATCATGGCTAGAAGAACCATTAAATAATTCACTGCACCGCATATTTCTTCCACAGACTCTTGCATCTGGAATGTCTTTTCCTTTCTTTGACAAATTCCTTCCTATCCTCTAATGTCAGGCTGAAAAACACAACCTCAAAGGATTTCCAGACAGATCTAAGGGCACTTTCATCTGTTTTCTCAGACCCCCTGATTCTACTTCCATAGTGAATTGCCTCGGAAACCCAAGGAGGGGTCGCTATGAGTTGGGTCTAACTTGATGGCAAATAACAACAACAACAACAACAACAACAACAACATATCCCTGCAATACTGAAAGACTACAGAACAGCATGGTTAAGAACAGGGAGGCTGGTGCAGACCACCTGAATGTGAATCTGGTTCCACCCCTTACCTGATGGGTGACCCTAGGCAAGTTACCTAACCTCTCTGTGCTGCAGTATTGAGCATACCCTTGGTTGTTTTGAATGTACCAATGTTGTTTCCAAACATACACTTGAATAAGATCAAGTAAAAATGGATACAGTATGGTGATGGGGACAAAGGGTTTAAAGAAGGCATTGCTTCCCGTCTGTCTCCTCATTTATGGGTCCCCAGTGCCTGGTACTGCAGGCACACAGAGAAGTGCTGGGTGAACCCAGCATGATCTTTCCAGGAGTTTCTCATCCCCTCCCTGACCAGCCTGTGTCCCCTTTCCTGCTTATCCAATTCTTCCAGGAAATACCCTTCTGCTTAAGGTCTTCCTACTACTACACAATGTCACCCCTCCCATGACTGACACCCTGAAGTCTCTCTTTGACCTTTTGCCTCACTGCTAGCTTCAGTGAACTCTGCCTGCACCCTGGAGTTGGTACCTCGGCCCTGTGCCTTGGACATACCTAAAGTCATTCAAAGACGAAGGCAACCTTGGGAAGTGGGCAGCAAAGGAGGAACTTGAGCCTGCTGATGCAAGGATACAAGTGGCCCAGACCAGATTTAGAACCGGGATGGTTTTGATGGTGCCATCAGTGTGGAACTGGTGGGAACCAGCCTGGAAATTATGGGCTGAATGCCATGGGGTGATCACTGTTCAAGAGGGAGCCCACAAGAAGTCCCTGGGGCCCTAACCATTTGACTACACTCTCCCAATCCCTGCAGGATACACAGAGCAAACTGGGGCCTGCTTATTCCCAGAAGGCCCAGAGCTACATGGAAGCTGG